TCACAACAATGTTGAAAATGAAGCTGCCAGACGAGAAGCTGTTGAAGCTACTTTGGATCGCAATTTAAAAGCATTCAGACCTAAAATTGCTAGCAGCCCTAATGGAATTCGGGACATTAAGGTAAGTACAGCCCAAAGAAATGAATTGGTAATTAATTTGTAAATTTCAACCTTTTTGTGGAATATAAGTTTTTCTTTCTGATTATACTTTGTGGTGTATATATTTTAGGAGGAAGCTGGGGATTGTTTGGTCTTGGCAAAGCATAATAAAGGATGTCGTTGCAAGAAATCAGGGTGCCTTAAAAAGTATTGTGAATGCTTCCAAGCCAACATTCTTTGTTCAGAAAATTGCAAATGCATGCACTGCAAAAATGTTGAAGGGAGTGAAGAGAGGCAGGCACTCTTCCGTGGAGAGAATCCCAACAGCTTGGCATATCTTCAGCGGGCAAATGTTGTTATAAATGGTGCCATTGGAACATCTGGTTTTGGATCTCCTCCCGTAGCAAAGAAAAGAGAAGTCCATGAGTTCTTTACTGGCTCAACAATGAAAGTTCCTATTGATGCATTTGGGCAGTTCCCGCAGGTGGGTAATGGCATTTTCAGTTTCCGGTTGGATGAAATATCAAATTCAGATCCGAAGTTGTATAATACAGGTTGAGATACTCATTTTGCCTGTTTACTGGGAAATAATTGGTTTTCTTTTTTTCATTTTTCAGAGCAACCAAAGTAAAGGTCCTGTTCAGCCTGCTCCAATGCCTTCAATTCCCAGTGCCCAAGTTGGTAGTAATGCAGCCCCACTAGGCCCATCAAAATTTATGTACAGGTACAGAAAATATTGCACCAAAAAACCCTTTGGACCTTGAATGTTCCCAGTAGACTAATTATGTTTTTCGATTCCACTTTTGGAATTTTGAAAGTACTTTTGGATTTCGAACAGTGCCTTTGATTTTCTAAAGTGCTTACTGAAATTTTGTAAAGGTCAGTTTGGCACAATTATCTGAAAGTAACTTTTACTTTTGATGGACCACTTTGAGTTAATTTCCATACTTGAAACTATCAAACAGGCAAAAAGAATATGCCTTATTTTTCTAATAATGTACTACCTCCGTCCCATTTTATGCGTCTTGTTTTGGTTTGGCACAATTATTAATAAAGTAGTTGAAAAAAGAAAAGTTGTGGTTGAGATTTGAGTATATTAAAGTGAAATGATGTGGACCACATATGTCTTTAAGGAAAGTAAGACTGGTAAAATGGGATGGAGGAGTACTATATACACTCTATTTACATAACTTTTTCGAAACTAACAAAAAAATTCTTTGGATAAACAGACTTTTTGCCAACTGACTTTGAGAAAGTTTGGTAACTACTTTCTCATCCACACGAAAATGAACAAACAGCTTTTGAACGGTCAAATGCACATTTGGAAATCCAAAAGTGCTCTATGGCTCGTTTGGAATTTGGAATTAGAAAAGTGCCAGGGATTGTAAATAAGAAGGAATATAGATGAGAAGTTTGAAAAGAAATGTGGGGTGGGGATAATATTATTGGGTCAAAACTCAATGAATCAATTTTAGATGTTGTCAGAGCTTATGTTTTATATAATTCTGCTGTATAAAGACTAAGAAAACTAAAAATATGCAAAATCTTTTACCTTGGGAAATGCAATGGAAAACCAATTTTCTGTTGCACGTATTTTATTTCCTACCATTTTCCTAGTTCGAAACATAATCTTAGTGATTACAAAAGCGTAATCCAAACACATACTAACTATTTCAATGACTCCACACTACTGAAGGTCCCTATTGGCAGACATCATCCAACCACAGGATGTGAAGGAAGTTTGTTCATTCCTGGTCTCCTGTTCAAGAGAAGCTGCTAAAATGCTTGAAGGTAGACACATACATTTGTTTTGCATGTAAACTAATTAAACTAGATTGCATCGTCCTTGATATTCCTCTATTTTATTTTTCATCTTCTTATATCCACTTCTCCTTGGTTCAGTCATCATTTTTTTTTGTGTATTTATTAAATGAAATGACAGTTTCCATCATTTGCAATGGAGCCTAAAACTCACTATTTTTTGGCTTGGGAATGTGATGAAATAAAGCAAAATGGTTCACTAAAATGTATGTGTTTCTTTGTTAATGCAATTTTGGACGCGATTTTTACTATGGGTTATCCGGAAACAGTCTCTTTGTTCTTTATACAAGGGTAAGACGTTTACATCCGACCCCCTTACCCCACCGTAGGTGGGAGCCTTTGCAGCACTGGTGTACTGATGATGATGATGATGATTAAATGAAAATGACAAATGAACCGATATTCTACATAATTGAGCTGACACTTGCCAGTTCCCACTGCACAAACATAAACACTGGTAAAAAATGAATTTTGCTTTTTTTCAGGAGAAAAAGTAAGAGGCAAACCGACTTGTGAAATTTGTCATCTCTGGCGGTGATTTTTCATCGCATATATTGTTCTTCTAATTTATTTGCCTGCAGATGAAAAGGATGCAAGAGGGAAGCAAGCAGAAGAGCTTAGAGAAACAATGGTTGCCTCACCTCAGGACACATTAGATAATGTAAGAGTTTCTGTGGGAAGGGCTTTACCTGATCAATGTTCCACAGAGAGCCATGTTGAAAAGAAAACTGCAGATGATCCCAATGTCTTTGTAGCAAGGCCATTGTCTCCAGAAACATTGGCACTGATGTGTGATGAACAGGAAACGGTGTCTTCCCAGTTGCGTCGTGGGCAAAGCATGACGGAAGCCTATGAAAAGCAGGAAGCCATTGTTTTGACAAAATTTCGTGATTGCCTTAACAGGCTTATTGCATTGGGAGAAATAAAAGGCAAGTTTCTTCTTCTTAATGATTTAGAGAAAAAAACACTCCTCTCATGACTATCAAGTCATTTTATTTTTCTCACTTGGTCATATTCCTTAATCAATTTCTTTCACTTCTTTTTCACATAAGAATTTCACATTCTTTTATGTAGAATCAAGGTGTTCTTCAATGGCACGAGGTTCAGAATCAGATTGCCGAAATGGCGATGCTGCGGAAGCAAGAAACCAAAAGGAAACCTACTGCAACGGTAAGTTTGATGACCCCTCCCCGTCTCAAGTGGTCATTTCTGCAACACAAGACCAAAAGGTCCATCCCCAGGAGAAAACGGTTGAGAGATGCATAGTTGAAACTTAAATTGTGGAGACAAATTTCAACAAGGGGAAATTGTATTTGGGTCCTTCAGTTATAGGAATCTAGTGGATTTAGTGTCTCAATTATTTGTGTCACCACTTTTAATCTTTGGGTTATTTATTACGAAAGTGGTGTCTTTAGGCCCTCATTAGAAAAAGAAACTTGAATTCATTATAGCTATTGTTTAAGCATCTAATTTTTTAATGTACTAAAATAACATTGTAAAAATATAATTTTCTAACTACAAATTTAATAAGATTGACTTTCAAAATTAGTTTTTTTCTCTATATCATCAAAACTATACCTCGTATATCTATATACTTCAATACGTATGTCAGTTATACCTCGTATCAAATATGTATGGGAAAAATTCCGGAAACAGGAGTTAAAATGTTAGACTATTCAAAAAAAAATAAGATTGTCGTGTTTTTATTTCCTAAATAAAAGTAATTATTGTCAAATTTGAAAAATACTCTCATGTTTTAATATGATAGTAATTACTCCTACTTTAAAGAATAAAAACATGATAGTTTTATATTGGAATATACAAAGGTTTTTTAGTCCTATTTAGAAAAATTTCTCAATATGTATTTATGAACCTTTCAATCTGAACTTTTCGATCTACACTTGTTCCAAAAAGATATTCTAAATTTTTTAGGGTGTACCATTGAACAAAACAAAATTATCAAATGAAAGGAATTAATGTATGCTTTAACTTTACATTATTTATTTAACAAAAATGCTAAAGGTACCCCATTTTGGGTATCCCATTCTTACATCCCCTACTGTGTGGCCACAATTGGAGCAATACTTTTAAGTGGGGCAACACTTTTAAGTGTGACCTCATTTGGACCACACAATGTGTGGTGTAAGAATGGGGTACCCCAAAATGGAGTACCTCTAGCATCGTTGTTTATTTAACTGTTCCAAATAAAGACGTGTTTTCACAAATGTATACCGAAACTTCCAAACAAATAGTATAAAATTTCAAAGTTGATGATTAGTTTTTTTTTTTCAATATCCGAAACTCCGAAAGACTATAAAAGTAAAAAAAAAATCGAGTATCTCAATAATCAAATTAAAGTGACAAAAACTCTTTATGTTATTGAAGTGCTATAGTGACATATCATATTGTACATCCGATGTCACTTATCTTTTTAAGACGTTCCAAAAAAAATTCATTTCTCTTTTTGAAAAGTTTTGTACGAGTCACATCATTCACATTTTCTTACTCAATCCTAACTACACATTTTTACTTTATTTCACTTTCTTAAACCCTGATCCAAGTCAAATCAGAAAAAAATTTATGAGACGATCACGGATGGAGTATGTTTTGTGGTGAAACACTAAATTATCTAACTAGTAAAATTGATAACACTAAATGGTCCATTTTGTACACGTTTTTTTTTTACTTTTTTTGCATTCCCTATTTGACCTGTGCATACCAACAATTTGTCTAAAAAGTGCCGAAATTGCCATATGCACAAACAAATGTACAAAACATGTACAACAACTCTCTTAACAAGTTTGGCAACTTCTACCAATTCCACCCACAATAGCTACTTAAGAGATTTGAGATTTCAACCAGCCAACCAGGTGTATGGTCTTAAAAAACATTGTTTGTATACTAGTATCGGACGCCTCAAAATACGAGTAGATTCAATGACTACTTTACATTCCTATGACGATTCATGACTCTCCGTTAACGCTTTCTGGATGCTGTTATAGGCGCATTGGGGGCGCCATAAGGTTTAAGCGACCCTTACATGTGTGTGTGTGGGGGGGGGAGGGGGGATGACATGGCCCTTAATCACTGAGGCCCTTTTATAAATTCAAACAGCCTTCCAACAAGAGATGCAAATATGCAATGCCTAGAGCGTAGTGCTCAGATCTTTATCCAACCAACAAAAATTTACACAAAACTTGTAAATGACAATCGAGGAGAAGTAACTCAAAAATGATTTGGATGAACATTTCTTTTTTCCAAGAAAATATACTAGGTTTCATTATTTATTTGTTAATTTAAAATACAACTTTAACATATAACTAAAACAAACAAAAAACTTGTGTTCTACCCCAAGGAACGCAACACATAATTTTATTAGGTCGGCAAACATTAATTGTGTATGCATTTATCTGCCACGTCCAATGGTGCAATCCATATGGTTGGAATGGTGTCTACATACGCGATCTTGAAGCGGAAGAAGAGGTTGGTACACCAGAAGCACTCTGCATTTCAAGCAAGATATTCTGGCTTAGTTATAAAATAAAATAAAAACTCCGCAGACAGTAGAAGGTTTTGTTTGGAACTCGGAAAATACAAGACAGGTTATATTCATTAATGTATTTTGGATACTTGTTCAGAATCATTTTCTTTTTCTATTTTATAAAGACAGAAATCTAAGTATATGTAATAGCATCCACAGAAAAACACAAGAAAAACAACTCTGTTCAACATTTCTTCCCCTTGGCATTTTCCCAAACATACAGTATCAGATGAGCAATTAAATATACTTACCAATGGAATGCCTTTGAGTGCTCTTTCTTCCAAGAAAGTTGAGGGTTTGAAGAAGCCACCATATAACTCTGACCACTTCTTGAGGCTTTTATATATATGGCCAGCTCCAACAGTATCAGCCCAGAAAACAATCCCTCCTCTACAAAAGAAAACGATTGAAAAACGAAATGTGTCGGTTACATCTGCCCACCAGAATGTTTAACTATTCTGTATGCATAGGAAGAGGGGATTGTATTAACCTGTAAGAGGGGAAGCTCATTCCAAGAACAGATGCAACATCAAGATCAGAAGCCCGAACAACCATACCTTCGTCAAGAACACGGCATGCCTCGTTCACAACAGGAAATAGAACCATCTCAACTATTTCTTGGTCGGTCACAGATATCGGCTGAAAGTAAATTTCTGAGATTATTAGTGAAATGACTCATTATAACCCCCACATGACTCATTACATTTCTGAGTATGTATCATTTAGTAGCTCTTTTGAGGGAATAAACAAAGCAAGATTCCATGCTCAGCATATTATTACTGATACATAAAATAAAAATAAAATACTCACTCAACCATTTTAAAGAGCTTATAGATTTTTTTCCCTTCAGGATTTTGAAATATAATTACTAGATATAGAGTAAGCTTTGTTTTGAATTCATTACAGTCGGGTGCGCCAATGAGTTTTCTTCGGACAACTTTAGATGAGGTCTAATAAATTCCATATTTCGAGTGAATCTAAACAAGAGTAAAATGATGTGGCTTATCATCATTTATATCCATACTCCTAAACTAGTGTCGTCCAATAGATTGCAACAGATGGAGAAGTGGTACCTTCCCTCCAGGCATTATATTAATTAGCTTTCTAGACTCCTCTATAACTGGAAGCACAGATGGATCCGGTTTTGGTTTCATACCCTTCTGATAAATGTAGTATCCTTTTCCATTACTTTTACCTACAAATAAAAGTATCAAAGTTGACATAGTAATTGTATGTAAGAGTCCACAGAAGAAACAAGTAGATAGGTTACCGTTTCGACCACTTTTAATGAGGAGGTCAACCAAAGGACTCTTAAATATACGGTCAGAAAAAGCAGCACCAAATTGTTTTCCTACAGCAACAGCTACCCCGTACCCTGTTAAATCCTGTAGCCTGAAAAACAGAAAATTCATTGCAGTTTGTTCAACCAAGCAAAACATTGATCATCATTCAAATAAAACACTGTTCACTCAAGCTTCTAATAATTAATTACTCCCTAGACACCACAAAAGGAGTGTGTTTCAAAACTTATTTTCATAAGAGCCTTATTTTACAAACAAAAAAAAAACGACTCCTTGGGTTAAATGTAAATATTCTACAAAAGAGTTCCAAACAAGTTAAGTCTGGTAAATTTTGCTTAACAATCAATATATCATCAATCATCATTTACCCCAGTGCCGCAAAGGCTCCCACCTATGGTGGGGTAAGGGGGGGTCGGATGTACGCAATTTTACCCCTATACTAAAGCACAGAGATTGTTTCCGGATGACCCATAATGAAAATCGCATCCAACATTGCATGCTGACTGCTGCTTCATAACAAAGAAGAGCAGACAGTTTGGTGAGCCATTTTGCTTTATTCCATCATATTCTCAATCCAAAAAATAATGAATCTTTGGCTCCATTGCAAATGATGGAAATAAATTTTGCTTAACAAAATGATTAAAAATATATTAGAGAACTTGATTTATAGTAAGTTGTACCTTACCAAAATTAAAAAATGTACCTTGATGAAACATCAACTCTTTTTTGGAATGAAAGTAGTAATAAACATTTTCCCATTTCTTATACAAAATTTATTTAACATACACACAAATAAAGATGTATTCCATCATTTGCAATTGAGCCAAAGACTCACTATTTTTGCCTTTTTGGACTTGAGAATATGATAGAATAAAGCAAAATGGCCCACTAAACTGTCTGCGCTTCTTTGTTATGAAGCAGCGGTCAGTCCGTGCGAGTTTCAACGTGATTTTCACTATGCGTCATCCGGAAACAGTCTCTCTATTGCGTACATCCGACCCCCTTACCCCACCGTAGGTGGGAGCCTTTGCGGCACTTGGGTAATGATGATGATGACAACGACTCACAAATAAAGATGTCCACAAGCCAAATCCCTCTCCTTGTAAACATAATTTGAGAGATGTGGATATGAAGGATAGAGAATTACTGGAATGGACCCATAGGAAGGCCAAAATCTGAAATCTGGGCATCAATCCTGAAAGCATCAACTCCCAGATGAACAAGAAAATGTGCTCCCTGAACATATGGAAAGAAGGTCCTGTTTACAGCAAAGCCAGTACAGTTTCCCACCACAACAGGGACCTTCTTTATTGCTTTACCAACAGCCATAAGGTCAATGATTGTTTGAGGTGATGTCTTTTCTGTCCGCACAATCTCCAGCAGTGGCATAACATGAGCAGGGCTGAGCATAAATGAATAAAAAATAAGAGACAGATAGATAAAGCATCAATAAAGAATAATTCCTCCAAACAAAACAAAACTGTTAAAAAATATTAAAATACTGTGTAATACTGACCACAGCCACAATGAAAAGCTAATACAAAGTATTTTTTCTCCCGCTTATTTTAAACCTCTAGTTATCATAAATAATGAACAAGAAGGGGACAGATATTAACCTGAAGAAATGAGCTCCTATAACCCTATCTTGAGATTTTGTCTTCTCCCCAACTATGTTAAGGTCTATAGTAGATGTGTTGGATGCCAGTATACAATGAGGAGGACACACCCTCTCTATTTCACTGAAAATCTTTTGCTTTAAAGGAACATTTTCGATCACTGCCTGTAACCGAGGTGAATCATCATCATCATTATTATTATCATAATAATAATGTGTACAACACGGATGTTAAGAACAACCACTTTAGTTTATTATTATTATCATAATGTGTACAGCTATTTAATATTCTTTTGAAGCAGATAATTATAACACTGATGCAGATCTATTTGAAACTTGAATGCAGATTTGACATGATCAAAAGATTATTATTAAAAAACATTTGAATATGATCTTTTGATATGATTAAAAGAGTATTATAGGCTTATAGCATTAATTATCATCTAAGCACATCTTTTCCACTACAAAAGCAGTTCAACCCTTACCTCAATAACCATATCCGCGTCCTTAAATTCCGAGTAATCCAATACACCTTGAAGTAATGATAGGGCTTTTTCAGCTTTATCTTGAGGCAACTTTTTCCTTGATACCAAGGACCGTACATTTTCTGCCAAATTAAGGACACCCTTATAAGATTCTAAAGACAATCAGAATTTTATTTTACAAATAGATTCAGCTTTGATTTCTACTGGGATCTTTCCTTGAATATTACTCCATACTATATTCAAGCCCAATTCCAAAAAAAACTTTTACATATGGACAAAATGTGACTAAAAAGGTAATTAATTTGGAAAACTATGAACGTCACTATCAGTTTATTATGCCCTGGCAGATTTGTATGTCACCGTCAGCTTATTATACCACTACTAGACTACTAGTTATTGCTGGTGTCAATATTGCCACTACCGATGTCATTGATGCCGCCACTGGTGTCACTACCGCCATGAAACATTCACTATGAATGCTGGAAATTTTGAACACAGAATTTAAAAAAAATTGAAACCGGAGAACTTTTTCAGCAGAAGATTCAGATTTCATGCTGTGGAAGTATTGGTGTTACAGAAACAGTGCAATTGAATTTCTTAGCAAGTCAAATGAAGAAAGAACGCATGGCTTCTGCTGCTGCTGCTAGAATGCCATAGGTGTCAACTCCGACATTTATTTGAATATATATTATATTAATATGTTCTAATTCAATGATATGGAAAGGACACGTCTAGGACTCAATAATTAAGCTCAAGTTAGATAATTGGTGGATAAAATAAATGTTCATGTTCTATGAGGATATGCCCCCTAATAAGCAACCTTTCTAGATCCGCCACTGATGCAGCTGTGGTTGCCAGAGGCAGAAGTAGGGCTGGGGCTGGGCTGGGGGTAAGCAGTTGGGTAGGGATTTGAAGGAGATGAAATTTAAATAATTAATTAAAGAAAGGTTAGTCACACTTTTGGAAGGAAAAAAACTAGTCTTATTTTTGTCTTCCAAAAGTGTAGAGGTAACATTTATGTCATTTTTTCTTAATTTCTATAGTAATCCAAGTCCAACATATTTAATACCCAACAAAAATACTATATCTAAATACCTTCTATGGATTTTAACCCTTTTTGAAGATATTGAGCATTAATTTCCTTGAGAAGCACATAAATGTTGCTCAGAATAAGTGCTGTAGCTATCCCAGATCCCATTAGACCTCCACCAATTATAGCAACCTTCTTCACCGGCCTTGGTTTGAGACCAATATCAGTGACATTTGGCACCTATTCCATTATCCATACGATCAAAAGAATTGTGAGGCATGTTTTAACTGAAAAAATCCCTCAAAGGACTGAAGATATGTAATTGCCATCAGCCATCACAAAAGATAAGTTAACAAACACGTGAGAAATGGATTTACAAACACTCTATAGTCCATTTCATAACGAAAATATTAATGGAAATGAAATCTGGATAAATACAAAGTCCAATTACTCAAAACTGTTTGGGGGTAATAACTTCTCATACACAAATAGGCAAAGAGATTAAAAAAATCACTATAGCAATTCTGGCACACACAATGGAATCATATCACAAATCAAAGACTTAAAGAAAAACATTTGGTCTTACATTCCGAGCTAGGGCTAAGCTCCCTTATTCACAGACTTGTTCACAAGGAGGTAAATACTTTTCATTGGATTGGAGGGGCAACCTAGGTTGTTACTTATTCAGACTTGTACATGTAGAATGTTACACAAATTTAAAACCTGGGGAAACTCTCAATAAAAGAAGTTGGTAACCCCATTGCTGAATAGGTTCAATTGTCTTGCAACACCTTGAACATTGTAAAGGTAGATATTATATTTAATGCTTTAGATAGTAGTTGAAGGGAAAAGAAAATATATAGAATGTAAACTACAGGGTACGATCATGTACTCTAAATATATTTACTTATAAAAAGATATGCTTACAATCTAATTGAGGCTCTACGCTTCCAGTGATGCACTATAAAATGTTCATACTTCTTAGGCATCAAGTTTACCTTTGACGTTGCTCTTTGCGCAAAGAAAAAGTGAACAAGCCCTCTTGCAGTATCTGACAATACAATCTCCTTGAAGTCTCTGGCTTCCTGAAAAAATATGATATTAACAAGTTCCTCTAAACACAAAAAAAAGGATGCATTGGAAAAAGAACTTGAAAAAAAGTGCCTTTAGAACTCCACTGTATCCTCCCCGAACTATGCCCTCTTCAATTACATCAAGGCAAACCAGGTGTTGAGGCAAGTTGCGCGCGGTCTGCTTTGCTTGGTGCTTAGCAACCTTGAGAATATTACGTGCTTCTGAAAGGGAACATAATTTATCAGTCCTATGAAGGGATCGCAACCAGGGTTTATGCCTTCCTGCAATATCTAATGCCCACTGTCGAGATACTTCAATCAGTTCTGCTGGGGAGACAATTGCGTCGATAAGACCTAACTTTTGCCCTTCTTCAGATAATATGGGTTTAGATGTCTGCAACCAACATTGTTGAATGCACATCAATGTACAAATAATATATTACAAACAGGAGACGCTTATATACTAAACGATCACTGTATGCACCTTACTTATGGAGCCAAATTCAAAAATATGTACATCAATGGCAATAGTTTAATAACTTCACATGTTAGGAAATAATACTGTGACCTGCTGCTCAGGATACATACCAGCATTATCTCAACAGCTTTAGGCAATCCCACGAGCCTTGGAAGTCGTTGTGTGCCTTGAAAGGAAATGCAAAACTCAACATTATATCAAAATGAACTTGAATATCTCATAAAATGTTAAACATACATCAAGTATGTCATACCTCCGAAGCCAGGGATAACCCCAAGGGAAAGCTCTGGCAAGCCAAGTTGAGCTCTTGGTGCAGAAATGCGAGCATGGCATCCCTGATAAAGGGAAAATCATGAGCCAGGAAAATAGTTACTGATATTCATGTTAATACATTACTTGTGTATGAAATGCTTCTTAAGTTCTTAGGGAATATAAACACACCATTGCCAATTCTAAGCCACCTCCAAGGGCAAGTCCTTGTATGGCAGCAACAGCAGGCTTTTTCCCATCTAAATGACACAGGTAAGAGTAAGATATAAATTATGATACCACAAATAACGAGATAAGACTATAAGAATGCCAGAACAAAGACGCTGCCCAGGTAGGCATCAAAAAATATTTGGTATGAAATCAGGTACTCGCCTTCAATCAGGTTGACAAGAAGTTCAACAGAAACATCAGGTAGTACAGAAACATCCCCTGAGGAAACAATTTAATTGGTTTATACAAGCAGGATTCACCGACAAGATTTAAAACCAACTACAGATTCGAATGAAATGGCATAGAAAGTAACTATACCATGCTTGTGAATTTGTTCGAAAACATTTATGTCAAAACCACCAGAGAACCTCCCACCACTTCCTGGAATACAAAAAGTGGAGAATGAAACCGTAATAAGTAACCAATGAGAAAGAAAAAACAGCAACTTGCGCTGTAGATCAGAAACTAAAAACAGGGAGTACTCTATTTTCCCTGTAAATGACAATACAGTAATAAAGTACAGTTGCACTCACATGATAGCCTGTCACTCTCATCAGTTTATCTAAGCTCCTAATAAACAATACTTTTTGCAAGTTTTGGCTCAACTTTAGCTTATTTAGCAGACGTTTCAAAAAGCATGAAGTTATTTATACCCCATATAATATAATGAGCACTAAGAAAGTAACGAAGTCGTTGTACTATTTGCAGAATCTGGAATTTAAAAAATCAAATCACCAAACAAATTCATAGATTGTTGGCCATCAGAATTCAGAACACATTCTGATTTCACTATCAGTAGACTTCACGCGAACTAGCTGAACCAAAATCTATAACGGTATTATGAATAAGGAAATTCACCCGTCACAACAATGGCTTTGACATCGTCTCTAGCAGCCGCCTCCGTGAACAAATCCTTCAAGCTATTAATTACTGCACCACAGCTCAAAAATTATAATTAATTCAAGTCCATCGTACACGCACACTCGCCATACGTACAGAGATATAGCAACAGATCAGTGACTTACTTGGAACCGCTAACGCGTTGACTGGTGGATTTGTGATGGTGATCACGGCAACGCCGTCGTTCCCGACATCCATCGTCGCCGTAGGCGCGGCCATATTTCAGCTTCCGCCTGACGGATAAGAAGATGAAGATGGAGGAAGGTGACGTTTGAAAGCGATGGAACAGATAATTCAGGAGTGATGATTCGGTGGACTATTCGGTAATACGGAGTACTTATATACATATAGATATTGGAGCAGTGCAGAAGCTGGTAAATCTGAACGAATAGAGTTGTACACTGTGCTATCCCAAGTGTACTACTATAAAAGAGTGAAAGAAACGAGGTTCTAACTTCAAACTTCAAAGTAGTTAACGGACCGACTGCCTTTGACTTTAATGGAAGAAAACCGATATACATAGTGAATCTTGACTGTCCAATTTCGTGTTTTTTTACGCAATCCAATTTCGTGTTAAAAAGTGACTTTTACATGCCAAACATTTGGTATATGTAATATTTATATAAATGTATTTAAATTATTTATTTAACGTCATAAATTCTAAGAGATGAAGTTTAACTCTTCGACACTATTAAAGTTTTGATTTTAGGTTTTTTTGAGTTTAGAGGTTGCTTTTTCTCCGCTTTCGTCTTCAACGAAGTGCGGTTTTCTTGTGCGGATTTCGTCCGCCTTCCGTGGGGCTCTCTTCTTCGCCAGACCGCAGCGCCTATATGATGGCCAAAGGTTGTGTACCCCTAGCGGCAGATGGAGAGTTTCGAGGATGTCGTTCATGGTTAAGATTAGAAGGTCATGGACGAAGCGTAGGGCTAGGGGATGAAACAGATCTAGACCGGAGGCAAGGAGCGGAAGAAGTTATAGTATTGTTGGACCGTCTCTCTCTCGAACCGCCGCCATGGAGTGCAGATGAGTTTATGGTTAGGAATCAGTATTTTAATTTTATTATTTGATTGATATTTATTTTTCATGATCAGACTGTTTAGTTTTCTGTTAATTATTTTTATTGTTGTAAGACTCTTGCATTAGGATTGGGTGATGGGAGGTCTGCTTTAACCGTCGTTGGCTCATTGCCTATTATAGGATCAGCAAATTATATTGCTTTTTGGAGGTGATTGACTCTAAGTCTGGTTCGAGAGGTGTCGATTGCTTGTGGTCCTTTTGTCATTTTACCCCATATCTGAATGTTGTGATATCAATTTAAGCCACCCGTTTTGACAATAAAAAAAAGTCATAAATTTACGCTAATGAAAAAATATGATCATAATGTCAACATAACTTTTTATATAAAATTCGGGATATTTATATTACATATGCAAGTTTGGATTCTGGCATCACATCTCTTGAAAATTCAGGTTATTTTGAATTATTTTTCCCTAAAATAAAATATAAATCAACAAGCATTACCTCGTGATTTAAAAATGTACTCCGTATCAAATATTTGTATTATAGGTAATTCATGTGCTGTACATAGTATTCTGGAATAATAAATTTAGCATTCTAAATTATAAAAAAATGCTATCCGGAGTACATTTTTATTTTGTTCAATAATTAAATTTGGTGAAATTACGGCAAATAATATCACAGTGTGGGTATTTCAAAATTACGACCTTTTTTATCCAACTTTCGATAGGACTAAAATTTTCTCTATCTATTTCACTCGATTATTCTGTGGACTGTCGTCCAAAGAAAAAATTAAATACACCAGCAGGATTCGATCCAGAGATCTGAAGTAGGATATTCGGCCTTCGAACCATCTCACTAACTTGTCTTATTGAAATAATTGGTTCATTTATCTTACTTATCCTATATAGTTTCATACTGCGTATTATTATAGTAATTATAATATTAACTATTCTTTTGCTTTTGCTCATTATTACTATATTAAAAGACTAATTCATATTTTTGAAGTATTTATTTGATCTATGAATCATACTATTACTTTATATAAATATGTTTATATTTTTTTATATAGTGTTAGTGAGATGAAAATCACGACTTCTGGAGGATGAGTAATAATGAACTTTTAGTGAGCACCAGACCTATTCTGTTGAGCATACTGAATACACAAATTGATATTTAAGCGTATTCGAGATTTTAAATGAGCTTTTAAATTTTTTCTATGCTCATTTCGTAAATTTTAAAATGAGCATTACACGAGACAACTTAAATGTCATATCCATGCATATTGGCGTAATGCTCATTTTGAACTTTTTGATACTCATTTCACGTTTTATATATTCACATTTGATATTTGAGCATCAAACATCCGCTATTGAGATGAAATTCACGGTTTCTAGTGAATGAGCAATAATAAATGTTTAATGAGCATCATATCCATTCTGTTGAGTATTAGGAGTCTAATATTGAGAATTGTGATCTCCACTTCATAACTTCTAATTCACTTTCTTTTTGTTATTTTTTCTTTTATAAAATCTTATTAAATTATATATATTTATAATCAAGTCCTGTGAATTTCAATATGTGAATTAATGTAAAATAGTACTTTAAAAAATGTATCGATATGACATTTAGACAATGAGCATAAGATCTCTACCAGATGAGCATACGTAACATACAAAATGAGTATTAATGAATTTGTTAGTTGCTTTGTTATTTAAAATCAGCATAACAAAGGTACTAAATGGACATACATAACTTACTAAATGAGTTCAAGATAACGATTTTAATTGAGCATCACACATCCTCTATTGAGATGAAATTCACGGTTTCTGCTAAATGAGCATTAATGAACTTTTAATGAGCAACAAACCTATTATGTTGAGTATTGTTGAGCAGCATAAACTCTTCTTCATAACTGCTGTTTCACTTTCTTTTTCTTATTTTTTCTTTTATATAATTTTTTAAAATTATATCTATAATAGATTCCTATGAATTCCAATATACGGAGTACGAATCTAATTTAATATTAAACTTTTGGAATATGCATCAAGACATTTCATTGAGCATCAAACCTCTGCTATTGAGATGAAAATCGCGATTTGTATGGAATGAGCATTAATGCAAGTTTGGTGAGCATCATGCCTATTGTTTTGAGTAATAGGAGGCTAGGAGCCTAAAATGAGTATCGTGAAATCTGCTTCAAATTTTCTAATGTAATTTTTTTATTTGTTTAAAAAAGATTTCTGAAATTATGTCTATAATAGATTTCAATTTAAAACAATATGCGAATTTAATGTAGTATAATAATTTTAAAATATGCAATATTGATATGGAATTTTCAAATGAGCATACCATTACTACCAAATAAGCATACATAACTTACGAAATGAGTATCAAAAAATTTAAAAACGCATTTTTGTGTGCTCATTCATTTTGGACGTTACACTCATTTGAATTTAACATAAAACTCATTTCTATTGTGCTCAATATGTATTCAATATTCATTTGTGTATTGATATGACATTTTAAAATGAGCATAAAACGAATATTAAATGAGCATACGTAAATTACAAAATGAGATATAGCAAAACAAAACATTAATATCTAAAATATTCTATAATTGAATAAAGATTAAAAAAAATTAAGAAAAAGAAAGAACTAAAGAAGGAAAAACATAAAAGCAAGAAAAGAAGAACAAGAAAGACAAAAGAGAAAAACGTTTATTATAGATAAAAAAACAAAAAGTTTATTTTGCAGGGACCTAAAACAAAATGTGTCATATTTGCAAGGACTAAAAACATATTTAAACCTTTGAAATATGCATTGATAAACATTTTAAAATGAGCATAACAAAGGTACTAAATGGACATACTTCGTACATAATTTACAAAATGAGTTTTCAAAAATTCAAATAAAACTCATTTTTAATATCGGTATTAATATATAAAGAACAAAAAGAAGGAAACAAGAAATAAAAGAAACGAAAAGAAAAAAGGAAAAAAAAAAGACAAAAAAAGTAAAGTAACTAAAGCAAAAGTAACGTAAAAGTAAAGTAAAAAAGACAACAAATGTAAAACGAAAGTAAAGCAGGGACGGCGGCTAAAAAAATGAAAGACAATGGCGGTTGAAAACTTGAAATTAATAAAAGCAATTGGGAGTGATCGATGAGAGTGACGGCAGAATTGAAGAAGAATCACGCACAGCAAATGGATGAGAGAATCATCTGCCACGTCATTTAAAAACCGGGTGTACATGTACACCCGGGTGTATAGTATAGTTTACGGCCTTTCTCATACTTTGAAAGTGATTTTGTTGCTAAATTTTTATGAATGTTCATCTCCTTTAGCTATCGTATCCATATATACGACTTCAATTCAGAGCGGTTCGTGATAGTTTGGGTGGATAGTGAGGCACACCTGACACCTATTTAGGGTGTGTTTGCAATAGCTTAAAAAAAAGCACTTCTCAGCTTTTGGCTTAAAAAAGCACTTATTTACCAAACACTTCCAATTTTTACTTTTTCTCGGCTTGCGTGTGAAAAGTGTTTTTCCCTTTTCTATTACACAGAAAGCACTTATTTTACCAAACACTATCAATTTTTACTTTTCAAAATCACTTTTTTCTCAAACACTATCAACTTTTACTACTAATCACTTTTTCATTACATCTCCAAAAGTGCTTTTTTTTAAGCAGAAGCAGTTGCAAACACTCCCTTAGTAGCTTTGCTACCTGGGTTCAACTCCCACATACTCCTTGGACGTTGGGATCGAGATTTTACCAACATGCAAGAGTTTTGTAGGATATTCATGCCAGCCTTGTGGTGGTCTAGCTCCATGCATTATTGTCGAGTCCTAGGTATTTTAGGTTTGTAAGAAATTAAAATTGTGATTCGACATTCATGTACTTTTTTTAAGTAAATGTGTAGTAACATTTATTTCTATCGCTAGAGTATAAATTTGCTTCATAGATATGCTCTCATAAATTTCTAGATGGTGGTGATTTTCACTGATATTTCTATTTTCTAAAAGCATTAAAACAATAACTAATTCAGCAAAAAAGAACTCATACATTTGAATAAGGAAATACGTTGAAGCACCATTTTCCAGAATAAAAAACTAGCAAAATGCGGTCAGTGCCGATCCTACCATAACTCGGGCCTGAGTCAAAATTAATAAAAGGCCCTATACATTATTTATTTTTTTACTATAGTTTTCTTTGAAATTGAAGATTAAACATCATACAAACGACTAATTAAATAAAAATTACATTACTGTCAAAGTATTCAAATGACTAATTAAGTACAACTCACCGGAGAGTTTTAGCTGCAAAAGTATTAATTAACTCGACATTCTAGA